TATATATATATATATATATATTTGGATGCATTGCTTTGTTTAATGGTATTCCAGACGTATATTGATGGACTGGTTTCTAATGGTATTTACATCTTTGTTTGTGGAGTGGTTTTGTGATGTGCCTTGGTTACAGGTACTATTTTTACTACTAACTGATATGTTATATAGGCTACTAACCATAGCGGTGACTGATATCTGATTGCCACAACCTTACTGTAAGAAAATGTAGTTAACTGTTACGTACACACTGGTGTGTGGATTGGTTTGTAGTGTGATATGTCTGCAGTTAACAGTAGAAACCTTAGTAGATAATCTGGTTTGTTTTTGTACAGATTCCTGATTAGTAATTATATATTTTAGTTTTTGGACTAGGTTACATGGAGTTCATTTTGCCGTAAGGTATTGTAGTTCTCATGTTTCCTTATAGACCGGGAAGCAGGATGGGCTTTGCAGATCCAAGCAAGTATGTCCATTACATGAACTACAAAGAAATTCAACAGCATCTACAGAAATTTAGACAACATCAACTACAGAATCTATCTCGTAAGCTTCAGATTACTAAATCTTCTCCTGTAGACCGAAGAGATAGGCCGATCTCAAATTTCTTTGAGTATGATAGCATGCAGATTCATCAGCAAGTTGGGTTTGAGCAGAATAAAGAGTCCGACACTAACTCTTTACCCCGTCATTCCAGTATACTTGGTCATCCAAAGAAACAATCTTCACCATCTGTTCAAACTCAACGCTATAAAAGCCACCAAGTCCCTCCCTTACAGTCAGTAGACATTCATTCATTACACAGGCCCAGTGTTTCCACTGGTTCTGCCAAATTGCAATGTGTTTCAGACCAGTTGTCAGGTAGTGCTTTGCTTTCGTCACATAGAAAGACAATACAATATGATCAAGGTTCTGGATCCAAAGTTTAATACATATGCAATTTGTTTAGCAGTTTAGACAATTAGAAGTTTACACTCTTTCTTTTATATGTATGTATCAGTGGCATCGCCTGGTATGAAATTTTGGGTGGGTCTGAGCAGGAGGCATACACACTCTTGGTGGCAAGTTCCAGGAAGCTAAAACAACAACAACACTATGTACGAAATATTTGTATGTGGGAACCGTCAAGCAGACTGATTGGGTAGGCCTAGGTGCTAAGTGGAGAGGCCATGGCCTACACAGACTCACCTGAACTTGTGTCACTGGTATGTATGTGTATACACACATATATCTCTCACACCACAGTAGAAGATACTAACATTAATCATGCATTCTTTAAATTAAAATTATCAAAGCAATAATATCTTTTAGATAAGAATTCCAGCTCCATGTTCTTAAAGACTTTCCCTTCTTTATTTGGCTGTAGTAACTGTGATAACCATTACATAACATCTTAGCAACAAAAACGAAATAAATTTATATTTTATGTAATGTGATGGCATTATTTACTCTGAACAGTCCTTAGTGTTATTGAATTATTACTGTAAAGGCTTAGTTCAGTGGTAGAGGAAAACGTTTTATGGGCTCTGGTGCTGCATTTTGCTATAGATCAACTCTCAGTATAAATTTTAAGATATTATAATGATTAGAGGTGCAATTTTTTTTTTCAAAATTATCTTTGACAATGAAAACAGTTCTGATTTTAAGTATTAATGGCTTATAAAGTTAACGTTTTGTGTGCCTTTGATTTATTAGAAACTTTTTTTCTTGCCCCTTTTTCGCAATTTCATCAATAAGCCATTCCAGGTAAAATTTTCTTCCCCTTTTTATTTTCACTCAGTCTCACTTCTCCCATTGTAGGTCATAAGTAGTTTTTAGTGAGCTTGAATTTGGGAAGTGATCATTCAGTACTAGACACTGTTACTATTAAGGTTAAAAACAGCACCAACATTGTACAAACTTCTGAAAATGTTGATGAATGTGACACATTTTCCACTATTAATAATGTTGCTAAGAGCTTAACAGTTTATAATTTCAAATTTAAAGTGACTTTTGAAATGACTAAGTAGTTTCTTAGTGACCTCGAACATTTCCTTGTTTGTTTTTAGGCATCTGTCGAACACATTAAGTTTGAAGTATTGATAAACCATTCGTCTATGCAAAATTTATCAAAATGACACTCCAATTTCTGCCTCTTCATAGGTATTGTTGGGATTCCACTTTTCAAGAATTTTGGTGTCAAATTTCTTGAAGACATCAAACTCATTTGGCATCTTAGCCAAAGTTTCACTATGAAGTAAAATACTAGCTGTCTGGTGGTTTGAATCTTTTTTATTGTTAAGTAAAATACTTTCAGTCTGGAAGTTTGCATCTTTTGATTGTGAAATAGAATACTTGCTCTCTGGAGAGTTTATTGTTTGATTGTATAGTAATATACTTGCTGCTGGAGGTTTGAATCTTTTTTATTGTTAAGTAAAATACTTTCAGGCTGGAATTTTGCATCTTTTGATTGTGAAATAGAATACTTGCTCTCTGGATGGTTTTTGAATGCATAGTAATATACTTGCTGCTGGAGGTTTGTCTTTTGATTATGGAATAAAATACTTGCTGTCTGGAGGATTGTATCTTTGGATTGTGAGGTAAAATATCAAAATCATATTTATGAGATTGTCTGAAACCTGCCCACAAAAGTATTTTTCTTTCCAGATTTGTAATACATGTTTACCTACAGTTCCATGCAATCACCATTGCTCAAACACTGAAACTGCTTGTAAATGAGATTTTGCAGTTTTGCTATCCATGTGACACATAAGTAACATTTTTCTTTTGCTGTCTATTATATCCTCAACAAAATGTTTATCATCTGAAGAGTATTTTGTAAATATAAAATCTGATTTCAAACATTAGTGGGTAATATTTTTACAGTATTGGTGTACAGAGATTTACTTGAGCAGGGTTCTTTGTTGGATGCTTGTGGCATTTTTCAATGTACTTTGTTTTTCATATCTTGATTCTTTACTAATAGTTTCAGGACTTTCAACATGCTCTCTTGGCTCACAATCAGTCTTACTTTGTAAAGAAATGTGTGAACTTATTTTTGTGACAAATTTTTCTGTCTTTTCTCTGCATTTTGTAGCTCCACTTTTGTATTTAGGGGGCACATCACCAGTGTTCACTACACCAACTTATAGGCCGTTGTTAAGTCCTAGCACAGTTTTATTTGGTCTCAGGAATACTTCAAATCACTCTTCCAGTTTAAGGAAGAGAGTTTTGGTCTAAAGATAATTCAAACTAAATAGTCATCTACATAGTAGGTCTGGTTTATGACCTTGCCAGATCAAGTGAGTCCCTGAAAGTTTGTGGACTTGGGTGCATCATTTATTTCTCTACCACTGGCCCAATTCTTCAAAAACATGGTAATTATTTCCATTTGAATTGGACAAAGGAATCTGAGCTAGTAGATTAGCTGTGTATGTATGTATATAAAATAAAGTAGTGATAGTAAAATCTCCACACTATTTTATGCCCTAAATGTAGATGAAATAAAACTACTAAGCATTGGAACTCCATATGCTTTGTTAATGTTTATGCCAAATGTCATGTTATCAACTGTTTACACAAACTGCGAGAACCACTGAAGATTATTATTGCCAAAGAATCTGTTTGTTGTCCCTTAATCTAACTTAGGTGAAGCAGTTTTATTAGCTAAAACCTTGTTTTCGAATAATAACAAACTTTATTGCTACTAAATTAGCTAATACTATATCATAAATATACTGTCAAGTTTTAAATTCATAGAATCCTAAAAGTAATTTCATTGGAAGAATCTTCAGAAATGTGTTCGTTTTTTTCATGAATCATCAATTTTATTTGAAAAATATACGTTAACTTGCAAGATTTTAAAATATAAAAGCATTATTTTTGTATTATATAAATGTTTATTAACCTAATTTCTAAAATTACAATTTATGGATGATAACTTCTTTTTGTGTTTTTCTATAAAAATATACTGCAAGACTTATTATTACCTGGACTTTCCCTCTGTATTTTTTTTATTCTAGAATGTGAAATGTACATATTTTATGTGTTTATTTCTTTACTTATTATGCCAATTACTTATTTTTTTATGTTTGTAAAACACTTGCATATGCTTTTAATATGATGTTGTGTTGATTTTAAAGTTATGAGAACAAAAATGTTAAACTTTAAATATCAAAGTTAGTATTGAAATTCTTTGATTATCCTGCATATTGTTAATCATTTATTAAACGTTCTTTAAATCTTTTACAATACCTAGCACTATCTACATGTATAAAAAAGAAAAAAACAACAATTGTTTTTGAATCAATTCTATTTGTGTTTTAGGTACTGACTGCAGATTAGTAAAATCTCTGTGTGGTTTGACTCTTGGTCCTTCATATTTTTGTAGTTAAAAGGTCACTTAGCTTTGTAATTTCTCTAACAATCGTCAAGGGCTTAGTTGAAAGTTATTTTTCACAGTTTTGTATATTAGTTTATAACATGTAAGTATTTACCACATTTCATTTCTTGAACAACACTAATTATGTAATTTTTTGTTTTTCCAACATATTACCTTTACCAAGATAGCATTACGTAAAGGTACTCATGTTTATCGTATTTTACGTCATTATATCTAGCATTAAAAACCACTAAAACTTCATAATCGTAGAATTATCATCATGAAGGGAAATGTCGATTTTGTTGGACAAGTTTTCACAAACAATTTATTGATTGGTAAATACTTCCAGTGGAAGGTATCATCATATATAACTAGGGATATGAAACTAATTACATGCTATAGCATTTATTGTTAGTAGTAGTAATTTTGTTTAAAAAAACAACATAGGTTTTTAATCTTTCACTTTGCAATTAAATCTTGAGTTTAATTCTGTGCTATTCTTGTAGTACATTCCAACATCTTTGGATTCAAACTATATATATATATATTGTATGTATAGTATCATGTCATCATATGGATCTTTAACGGTTTACCATATCATTAAAACCGAACTTTGCGAATAAACTTAATATATTATCTTACTATAATGGAGCAATGGCGTCGTCATCTATATATCTGTGTGTGTAATAAGTACAATAATGCCAATATTAGAAGTAATGATTGAGGCTTATGAAATGTGGTGCCATCTATTCATAACAAAATTTTGGGTATTCAAGATTCAGACAATTAGTAAAATAACTATGGTATGTGCAACAACCATTTATTTATAACAGAACGCAATTTTAAATAAAAGTTCTTTCTTTACAACAAGAACACGACTTTCACTAGTACATTAGGGTTTGATTATATATATATCTCTATTGATGTAATTTTTACATGAAATCTAGTTGCTAATGTTATCAATTTGTTTTACAGCTATATCCTTAGTTACTTTAATTTTTTTTATCTAAGTTAATAATCACACACCAACATAAGAGGCCCGTAATGTATGATAGATTTTACTTATTTTTAATGTGTTTTTTTTGGTTTTTCAGAGAGAATATTATACTCTTTTTAGGTTTTGCACAATATAATTGTATATGTCCATGTAATTTAAAACTGTCATTGGTTAACAATTACACAAATCACAAAATTACAAGTTAAAGTATAGAAGAAATGTTTTCCGTTGTTGGCTGTTTATTATCAAACTGTTTGAATAACAACGATTAACAGCTTACAGAAGTCAAATTAGATTAAATGGCTCTTAAAAAAAAACATACCATTTACTACTGCGAGAAGTCCAAATAATTTTGTTTTGTGGAATATGTAAAATACCTCATAAAAAAAATTGGTGTAATTAAATGCAATAATGAAATTATTTCTGTTTTTGTGCATGTGTCCAACATATTATCAAGAACCCTGTATCTGACAGTGTTTAGACCCACAAGCAATTTGGTGCATAAACTGTGAGAATAAAAAAAAAAAAAGTATTGAAAACACCAAAAAGATTCTCTTGGAACCCCCCCCCCCCATCACTAATATTAAACTATGATAATCACAATTTCAAAAAGGTCAATAATTGAAAACAACTAAGTTTTTGTTTTAAAATTTTTTTTATTGGTCTTTACCTGGTCACTTGAAAAAAAAAACAAATCTCAGTGGCCATGTATTTCTAAACATGCACGCACACACATACACGTACATAGAAACAGTTTATTTCTCTCTTCCAGTGGAAACGAGACTGATGACAGACTTTTTTTTTCTGGTCTTCATCATCCTCTCTAACTTGTGAGTAGAAGTGACTATGGAATAATAAGTGACGATCCAAAAATAGAGGTATCACTACAATTTTTCCCTGTTTCTAGTCAAATAAAGATGTAGAAAAGCACTTTTGGACGTCCACAAAGTCCTTAAATCCACACAATACCTCTAAATTTATTTTGGTGAGTTGAAAATTATGAGGAGTGTGCCAACATATGAAGTCATGATCTAAGGTACACTACTTTCACCCTCTTTAATCTCGCAAGTTTTCCAAAAAACTGACATAGCTAGGTTTGATGCCAGTAAAAACTATTAAAATGACTCTTAAAATATGACACCACCAGTTCATATTCTCATTACTTGTAACGCCACCAGTAGCCACATCAAAGTTCTCTCACATTTGTGGCACTGTTAAAGTAGGCAGTAAACAAGAAGTTAAAGGTTAAAGAAACCAAGGGGATGCTCTTCCCAACGGCAACACTTCTCAATTAGTCTGAGTATTGCTCTGTTGATTAAAGGTTTGTTTCACTTTCATTACGAAAAACAAAAAAAAAGCTGCACCACTTTTCAGTATCTCAAAACATTCTGTAACACAACTTTTAAAGTAGAGTTCACACTTTAGCATTTTAATGTGCATGTCCTCATTTTATCTTCCATTTCTGTTCACATGCTGGTTCTTCCATTTTTAACAAACCAAATATTTAAAAACTGTTTAGAGAGAGACTATAAAGAAAATTTTTGCATACAATTCATATCCCATTTGAATGTTCTTAATGTACTTGCCTTTTCCAAAACAATATCAGTACGATCATATAATACTAACTTGCAACCCTTATTCAGAAGGTAGGAAGACAGGTTAAAATTCAATAAATTAAGTTCATGACATTTTATCATACTTTTAATTTGGTTAATCTCTTTATGACATAAATTATAAATCTCATGAAAAATTAATTTTTTTTATAAACTTTCTATATTTAACAACAAAAAAAAATAACCCAAGACTAAAAGCAAATTTTATCCTACTTTAATCTCTTTAAGATATTTTTTGCTTTATGCCCTTATATTTCTACATCGTTTCTCACTCAAACTCATCCTTTGATTTACTTGTGATATTCAAAAGCACACAAATTTCTTTTCTGATTTAGTCCACATTTTCTTAGGGTGATGTCAGAACAAAGCATCAAAGGCACAAGAATTACATGATACAACTGATAATTTGGCTCCATATTTTTTTTTAACTTTACATGGTTAACAGATACAACTGTAGATTCTTCTGGTAGTAGCAGACCCAAAGTATCTGTGGTTGTAACCCGAGTACTTGAAGTCATACCCAATTGAGAGTTTGTTTTTGATGTGAAATTTGAGTATAAAATTGTTTAATAATAGAGAAGGTTATTAGACAATTATATTCTCAAATGCCTTTGAGATATGTGTTTAAAACTTGGTGTAAGGATGAAGTATTTTCTTCATTTCAGAATAAACAGGCCAGCTAAATAAAACCAGGGATGCAATGGGTCTAATGCCAAAAGGCTCTTGAAATCATATTCAAACACTGTCAAGTTAAAAACTCAAATTCAAGCAGTATAGTTAGCTGTCATTTGATTGAAGATGCGATGTGGTATAGACTTCAGTTATTTCATATACTTCCAAGTGCCTGCGACGCTTTCAATTTTATTCACGAAGTCTTAGCTGTCAATCTAAGTAAACCATGACTAAATCAGACAATGAATGCGCTTATTTTGAATTTAAATCCAAGACACACTGTATTCAGTCAGAGAAGGTAATAAAACTAATATCAAGTTTGTGACAACACTAATGGACAGCTACAGCTTTATAAACCATGTTGAATGACAGGAAATAACAAGTATACATATTAAACAAAACTAAAATACAATAAACAAGACAAAGTTATATATATATATATATTTTTTTTTTACCAGCAAATCTTCTCACTCTACCCAACAAACTAGGTACACTTATTTTTGTAATGGAAGGCACTCTTCTAACACGTTCTTCTTCTCAGAAATCAAGCTGCTCTTTACTTAAAGCTGATAGTTATTCACTTGAAAACACACACACAACTACATTTCCAGTTTCATTACACTTTGCTTGAATTTTATGAATGAAATAGTGATTTTTAAGTGAAAAAGTAAAAAACAAATAAAAACTGTGGTTAGAATTTCCAAAATAGACATTCTGTTTTTCTTGAAACCTGTTCTCTATCACTTTGATTTGATATGTGTAGTTACAAATTGTGGAATGCCCCCCCCCCCAATTTTACTTTTTCTTCTCCTACAAGATACTTTAACTAGTAATCATAACTACACAAATAAAATACTCACACCACACTCTCAATATGCCTTTAAAAAAATAGTAAATAGTAACAAAAAAATGGCAAACTTACACTTTGATTTTTTTTTTCCGGAATGTCTGAGACTACTGTGCTGGCATACATAATGCCCTAAAAGGCACAATAAGGGTGAAAATAATAATAAAAACTAATTTCCATCTCATTCTAATAATATAAGTATGGTACATCAAACTATATTTTTTGTTTCCAAGAAAGACAAGCATTTTTGAGATATGTCATTTATAGTTCTAACAGTGATAAATCTTCAAATAAACAGAGATAATAAGCTCATGACATACAACATCTTCGGGCCTTAAGAGCATCCTCCTATTTTTACTTGGTTTTGGAAGTTAACCTTTATCCTAGAATGTGATAAAATTAAATGTACCTAACATTTCTCATCTGTATAAGTAACCTAGAAACACACAACATCTTAATCTTCTCAACAGTTATTTTTACCTGAACAAACTGTGCATTAAAAAAGATTTACTATAATGTTTGTTTTTTTCCCAATATAGTTACTCCTCTTTCTTCTTCGAAACATGTGAAGCAAATGATCCGAGTTTTAAAACAAACCTTCTGCTATTTGAACAAATAAATAAAAACTTCATCTCAATCGATCTCACATATCCTAACAGATCTGCCATTTTTTTTCCAGCTGAACATTTTGTCAGTAAAATAAACAAATATTTAAAAATCTACAGTTCATGACAAAAATTCTTTCCTACCCTAACTTTTACTAAATATATATATATACAAAATTGTTGTAAAAAAATAGTTTAATTACTGGCTTTTTATAATTTCTTTCTTGTGTTGCTTATTGAGTTGAAGAAAATATAGGTTGTTTGCAAAAAAAAAAAGTCATTATTCTAAATATTTTAACATAAGGAGGAAAGTGACAAACTGACATTATAAAGGTTTAAAAAAAGTTTGGTTCTTATGCATAAACTTGTAGTTTTGGAACCCTTTGCAGGGTTTTTACGTATTCTTTATGTACACTGCATATTTTGAAAGGCATTACTAGTAACGAAGAGAACTAGGGAAAGGACTGAAATTCTAAAAATAATCATTTTTATGCCATGGAAAATTCCGTGAAACTGCCATATATTTAAGTAACTATATTGCATAAAAATGTACAAGCAGCATGAGTTGTTTTGTATGCAAAATGTATTTATAAAATAGAAGTACAGAGGACACTTTAATGTTGCTACTGACCCCTATTGGGAATTCTATTAACTTTAGTGCACACTATGGGTCAACTTTTTACAGGTGCAAAACTTCTTAAGACTTTCTCTCTGACTAATCAATCAGTTTTTAAATTCTGCAATCCTGGTGCTTCCGTAGTCACGCAGGTGGATTAACATCCTACAGAAATATTGAACTTGGAATGTTATTTTCACACGCTGAATTCAGTTGCATAATTCAATAGTTAGAATGACCTGTCACATGATATGCCAGTCATTGTGTTATAATTTTTACTTTTGCTAGAAACCTGTGGTAGTGAGGCAAATTTCCACACTGACAACTTATCCATGTTAACTTAATTTAGCTCTAACTGTTTACAAATGCCTTGCTTTGGAGATTAAAACTAGATCTGTCCTGCTTTAAAATAAAACCAGCATTGGAAATAATGGTATTTAACAGTTCAAGAATACAATAAAATAAAATGAGCGATCAAGGGTATATCCTTGTATGTTTTATTTTACTGAGCAATTATTATCCATATGCAACTTTAAAAGAGAAGCAACATGCATTAATTGGATACCATGAAAACTGGGAATGTACAGAAATTGACTATTTTTCCCCCCAAAGGAAGAGTATACTGTCACACATTTTTAGAGAAAATAAGGTTTCTCCTTCAAAACATCTGTAATGCTAATAAACAGTCATTTCTGCCCTTTTTACGTTGTTATATGTAGATATACAACATAGACTATTCAATATTCAAATCAGATGTTTTAATTGATAGTATTTTTTATGTTCCTTCAATTTCTAGCAAAATAAAATATTGATAAATTGTTTCGAAGAGATGCTGAATCCCATTTAATTCAGATAGAGTGGAGTTTCCAACCAGGGGTGCGAAATGAGGGTCCAGGGGGTGCACGGAAGAGGTCTATATAAGATCCGTTTTTCCCCTAAATGCCGCCAAGACGAAATGCCTAATGCACACTTTTTTTAGGGAAGGAGGTGCAAGGGCCACAAAAGGTTGGGAACCATTAAGAAACAGAGAGAGACACACAAAAGAAGAACAGTTACCAAAGCAAAACAACAGTACTGTGTTGTAGGTTTTTACTGAAGGAATTTTCCCCAAATTTCAAGAATTACTGGAAGCATTTTTAATGACTTGGAATGATAAGAAATTTTCTAAATCATTATTTTTCTTTACATTTCAAAACTTATAAATCAAGAAGTTTAACTATTTAGTTTCACTTAAAACCACTAATTTATCCTGCGTTCCTATATAAATATTTTTCATTCATTGCATCATACCATTTTCCAAACAAAGTTCCTTTGTTCCAATTTTTTCTTTAAATTATTTGTTGCATCGTATACAAAGTTAAATCTTATTTTGAGATATTTCAAACCATTATCAGTTCTAGTTACTTATTATATGCAAGATAAACAAAAACAACCTAAAAATTATTAACTTCTGTCTGCTAAGGTATCGATACTTGCAGGCAATATGTTAATTTGTTGTCTTGCCGTTCTTATATTTGTATCTTAAAATTATTTCCTTGCTTTTCCTACAAAGATCTTACTTTGCCACCAATAAACTTACACAATTAAAACATGCAGTTTTAATGTTTCATTTCTCCTAACACACCAAATTTAAGACAGAGAACCCTCAAACTTGACAAATCTTTTTCAAAACAATAAAAAGCTTGCAATGAAGGCACGACTCAAAGAACATTCACTCTCCTAAGGCATTCAAGTGACAGTTGAAAATTTGCAAGTTTGATTCTCCTATCTTTTTTTTTTTGTTAATTTTTGAATATGTTGTTGCTTAAGTGAAACACTCAGTTGTGGATTGTTCTGAAACTCTACTTCTAATTACACTTTGACACAATCAAAAATGTATTTTTCTTAGTCTACAATCTACCAAGCTATGTCTAAAAATCTACAGCTAAACCTAAAAACAGACGCAGGACTCCACAGCAGACAGTTTTCTCAAGACCAGCAATGAAGACGTACAAACACTGAATGAACATATGAAATGGGAAAACACTGAGAAAAAAAAATTCTTGTCTCAGTGCATATTTGACTTAAAGTCAAAAATTTATACATCACAAAAAAATCACATATAACAATCTTATTTTAGTATCCATTCAATAAAGAAAAGGAAAAAGAAAACTAGTCCTAACGAACAGTTTCTTAAGTTACTAAACTTAAATGGCTGCCATACCCAAAAGTTCTCATTCAATATAATAAAACTAGAGAACGGTGCTCTTAAAAACCTATGTTACTTAAATCTCTGTTAATAGGGAAGTGGCAGCCATTTATCAGGAAAAAAAAAACTGCATTCACTCAGCTCTCATTTCTTTTAAGTTAATAACAACGGACACCTACCCAAATCAGGTATGTCCAGATATAGAATCTCGACAAATAACGTTCTCTCAGCTTTTAAAAATAGCCTTTGGGATCAATAGTAAAATAAAGGTACTTCTCTGAAAAGTGTAAAACTGCTTTCTTTAAAGATGCTAAGGAATTTCACTTCAAAAATAAAAATAAAGCAACAATTTTCAGACTTGATCTTCTGGATCAATAAGGAGGGGGACCAAGAGAGGATTTTAGAATCATCAACACCCCACTTGATATGTGGAACAATCAGAAGATGGAGACTCTTTGTTCCTGTTAATTCAAATCTGGAAAAAAAAATGGAGGTAATATATAACATTAATCGCAAAAATGTGGTGTAAAGGTAAAATATACTTTGCTAATATGACTACGTGAATTTATTTCAGTCATATTTAGTTCGTCAGTTATGCTCCATATAAAACACAACCCAAGATCTTCAGCTGTGAATATAAATTGAAAAAATATAAGCTCACTTCTTAACTAGTTCTAGTGTAGGTTTTATTACCTGAAATGAGATTTTATGTTTCCGTGTTACATCTCAATCCACAAGAAGCAAACTTGAGTGCTAATTTTAGTGGGAAAAGCTGAATAACTTCAAACTCTTTTTAGAATGAAGGAGTATAAAAGTATACGTTATATCAAACTACTGTATTATAAATTGTAAAAAAAAACCATAATAATTTAGCTACAATATTTAATAGTTTTTTTTTTACAATTTATAATACAGTAGTTTGATATAACGTATACTTTT